TGAAGGGTCATTTTTTCATGCTTGGTGGACTTGTAAAAAAGCCACAAATTTCTGGGTTCAAATACATACAATGATTTTAAAGATCAATGTTCAACTGAAACCAGAACTTTTCTTGCTGGGATTAATGGACAGTCAATTAGAAAAGAGCCACAAAAGATTATTTTTATATATGATTACTGCTGCGAGACTATTATATATGCAAACATGGAAAGATTCTGAAATACCCACAATGGAGGAATAGTTAGTGAAGGTGACAGAACTAGCAGAGATGGCAAAATTGACTTGTTTGATTAGAGAAAGATCAGTTATCAGTGACTGGAAACCCCTTATGGACTTTTTGCTGAAAAAAAAGAAAATATGAACTTGTGATTTATGGGTTTGAAGATGAAAATGGGTAGCTTATGGAAAGAAGGAAATTATGATGTAATCTTAGAGAGGGTAAAATATAAATGCATTTATAACCACTGTCAAAAAGACCGGAAGCTGCTTCTTTAGAATCTTTTCTTTCTTTTTTCTTTTTCCTTTCTTTTTCTATTTCCTTTCTTACTTGTTCATTATTCTTCCTTATTTTGTTTCTTTTCTAATATTTGTATTGTTTTTATCTTGTTAAAAAGTTCTTCCATCATAATTATATTTTAAAAAATCTATCCTCACAGCTAACTAGGATGTACAGTTTAGCAAATAGCAAATATTGCAACACTTTCTAATTCCTTATCTGCTCATCCCTAAATGTGATGCTATACAGCAAGTTTGTTCACTGCTAAATTGGAATGAAGCTTATGGATTTGTTCACTCCATGAACAAGAGCGTGTAATTCCAGGTATTTTCAAATAAGTCCAATTTGGAAGCATTTAGAATGCAAAGACAACTGCAGCTGAATCAGAATCTGCTTCTACGTTTGTTTGATACATCCCAGCCTGAAGTAGCTGAAATAATAATAAATTACCAAGTTACTTGTCTTGCCAGCCACTTGATCAGTGTTTTTCAGCCTTGGCAACTTGAAGATGCGTGGACTTTAGCTTCCAGAATTCCCTGGCCAGCATGGGAGTTGAAGTCCACACATCTTCAAATTGTCAAGGTTGAGAAACACTGCGCTAGATAATTGGAATTGGAGACAGAAGGCCTTCCTGGCAAGCATGTATAACAATCAAGCCGATTTACTCTGTGGAGAATGGGGAAGTATACATATTACCCTCAAGGTTCATCTTGGATCCTTTTATGTGTCAGGCACTGCTTCGAATCATCAAAGGGCTGGCAATATAAAGATACTGAGGTCTTTTGCTAATCTTGGTATATGTGACTAAAACAAGACAGAGTTATGGCTGGAGTTGCTGGGTTCACATTTCACACTAGGCCACAAACCATAGTTTACAAAACAAAATGATGTCCATACAATATTCTTAACTCAAAACTAAACATTTTGAACCCAATCATTAATATGAGGCACTACTTGTTTTCATATTGCATGTTTATGGGACCCTAACCCTTGTGGTGTTTAGCCAGAATTTATAGCTTAGCATTATATGTGAACCAGACCACTTTGACATGTTCAATCAGTCATGGTCAAAATAAACCATGTGTCAATTCAACTATGATCTACATGACCAGGAATCCAGGTCAGAAAACAAAGAATAACAAAGGTACAACTAAAGAGGAACAACATCTGCTAACAGCAAACATTTTTTTAAAAAATTACATATATCCACGTTTTGGGCAAGGGAGGTATTTATGCAACATAAGATGATTTATTTTATTTTTCAAATGGCCTTCTTTACCATGTCAGACACAATAATTCTCTGAAAGTTCAGTGGCTAAAAGCAAGCAAGGAAGCCAGCTTGGCTGCCCAGAAGTTTTTAATCTTACCATGATGTAGTCAGACCACTTTTCCCTCGCAGTTCTCAGAGCAGCCTGCCTCAGTTTCATCACATGTGTGAATCTGGAATTTGGCCAATGTTTCGGTCCAATTTCCTCTGGGTAAAACCTAACAATTGAAGAAAATAAAAGAAAATTGTGCTTTCTGCCAGGTTACATACTGTGGCTCCTGTAGGCTGAGTATGACTTTTCTTGGTTCAGTATTTTAATTAAAAAAAAAAAAAATCAGGCGGAACAAATAAAGTCAGTCACCTCAAATGCTCCCAAAAGGTTAGAGCAGAAAATGTGAATGATGCTTCTGAGCAAACACTTCTAAATTTATTCCTGGAGTGTGTACCAAGGACTTACTGGAACATGCAGCATTCTTGCATTTCTTGTCCTATATGAGTGCTTTGTGAATGATGGAGAACTGTACATAAACATGTTTTTTTTTTTTAATTCCATAGCCTAGGCCTCTAGGTTTGTATAGCATACAAGAGCTTGCATGGGGAATTCATTCAGGCTGCGTATGTGGACCTATACAGCTTTAACAGCTTTATAAAGCAGCGTTCCTCAGCCTCAGCAACTTTAAGATGGGTGGACTTCAACTCCCAGAATTCCCCA